TAAATGGAATTTTTGGTATTAACAAATTCACGGGGAGCTGGGTAGCTTTTCTAAATTTTTGTTCTATGGTGATTACCTTGTATGAATTGTTCTATCATAATGCATGGGTTTGTCATCATCAAAAAGGGGGAGATTGTAAGAACAAGATTGGTTATGCATCTGGCCTTGAGTTTTGTTGATAATTTTACATGGTATCTTAGAGAAAAATTATGTACTCTAATGGTTTATGTCTACTGTGTAGCTTTTTCTAAACAGGTCCTGAATCTGGTAAGAAGGCGTGTGACTTCATCAGACTCTAAACTCAACACTCTGGGATAATACTTTTGGTGTGTTACAAGTGAAGTCAAGATTTTGGAATGCTTCTTATGCGACGATTCTAAGAAACGTTAGTACAAGAGCTTCTGATCATGAGTTTTACAAGGAAGCTTTAGAGGCCTTTTAAAGCTTTGTTTCTGTTGTTCCAAGTTTTGAAGATGCTGAAGACAAGGTTTTGTTAAACGAGTTCTAAAGATCTGAAGACATTACTTCTGAATACCAAGTGTTGAAGACTCTAAAGACAAAGTTTTTGTTGAACAAGTTTTGAAGACTCAAAGACTTAGGTTCTGAAGATGCAAGTTCTAATCCTTCTACAACATGATTTACTAACATATAAATTAGAAGCTTCTGAAGATATAGAAGACAAAGATCAAGACTAAGGATTATGTGTGATGGTGAGTATAAAAATACAAAAGTACTATGTGACCTCTATTCTACTAGGGTGGTGTAAGGACAAACTTTTTGTACTGGTTGTCTACCATTCCCACCATGACCGCTGGGAAGAAAACAACTAGTTTTGTGTTTCCTATTCTACCCTCTAATGAATCTCTTTTTCAGATATAAAAGGGGGACTTAGAAGAATTTGAAATTAACGAATCGGTTGAACAAAACTACACTAAAGTGTTGCACAAACTCTTTTGAGATATTCTTTATATAGTTTTGTAAATAAGCAAGAAGCTTTTGTTCTTATCTTGCTATCAACACTTTTGTGTTGCTCTACTTAAACATTGTGCAATATTCTTATTAGAAGCATCTCTACATACACATCTTTGTAAATCAACGATTATTGATAGGTTCCTTGAGAGACTCAGTGAGTCAGGATTCTCATGAAGACTTTGACTGCGGTCATTATGGATTGGTAATAAGGATCGACAGACTTGTTGGGGTTGTCAACAAGGTTGACCAGACTTATTGTGGTTGTCTATAATCAGTTGATTATAGTGGATTAAGCCTTTTTGAATAAGGCAAATCACCTTGCGGGGTAGACTCGAGTAACTTTGTTAACAGTGAACCAGGATAAAAGTAATTGGGTTCATTTATTTTTATTTACCTGTTAGCTTTGCATTTGATTTGCGAATAGATTATATTTGGTATAACCCAATTCAAACCCCCCATTTCTTGTGTTTCTCGCACCTTCACTGCGTTGGGACTTAAAAGGTTTTTTGGACTTAATTAGAAAATAATTTCGACAAAGATAACATGAAATAAGGTTGATAACGGTCTTTTGGCCTTATAGTTTCTTAAAAGAGACGCGTGGAAGCCTGTGAAGGGCGAAGCACATATAAGTGAGAATGTGTCATTTTTTGGAGAAAAGACTGTTCATGACAGTTAGCGTCGAAGTAGTATAAATAGGGGCCTTAGCATTAGGAATTCAGGTGTTCAATTGTAACAAACTCAAAATCATTCAAAGTATCTAAGTGCGTTTGAGAAAAGAGTTTTCTGAATAACATGTACGTATGTATCACCACATTTACATTCATTATTAAATCATTTACTTTCAATGTCATTTTAATTCCATTTAAAATTATGTCAAAACACATTATATTCCTTACATTTTACATTCGTACACTTTTTATAAATTGTCTTTGCATTAATTTCACTTTTAATATTTTAGTATTATCGAAGTGTTAATCATTAAGAAAACATAATAAGACTAGGCACATATATTCTATGATCAATATAGTCTATCCTGTAAGTAATTAAAATATCAATTTTAGAAGATTAGCTGTTGTTTACCAAAATCCAAGATAAATAGATAGTGAACTCATTCCTTGCTCATCATATCTCTAACGAAAGCTTTAAGTATTAGATATATTGTTAGCTCTCTTGTAAATCAAAAAGTATATTTATTCATAAGTGATATGAGACTTAATCACTCACATTTATGATATATTTAAACAACTTATTTGCATCTTATATAAAATAACTGCTTATCAAAATAAAATTTTATGAATAAACTTGTATAAACTATTTTAATAACTCAAAATAAACTAAATTTCAATAATTTGTGTATATACTTTAAGATATTTTTATTAGTTATTTTGAAATTTTATAAAATAAATTAAAAAAATTATGAAAAATGTCATAAGTTGTTTTGATAATATTTCTTCTGTTTCTTTTTAAGTGTCGTTTTTGAAGAATTTTTTTATTTTCATTTAAATATCGTTTTTATAGTTTAATGTTATAATTTGTTAATTATACCCCTAATTTCTTAATAAATGCACTTCACATTCTCAATAAAATTAATTATTTTCTCAATTAGTTATTCGAAAAAGAGAGAGATAGTGTATGATGAAATTTATTTGGAAAGAGAAAATAAATGAGGGTATAATAGCAAAAATAACTCTAACAATCCACAATCATTGAAAAGCTTTATGCTAAAATGAAATTTAAAAAGGAACCGAGAGAGTATCTTAAATGACAAAATTACTCTATGAATATTTTAAATTATTTTATTGTAATAGATTGGTCCTTTAAGTTCTCTTTAAATTTTTTTTCGGTTGAATTAGGATCAAACTTTATATTTTTTAGATGCTACTTTATGTATTTAGGATACTATAATATATATATTTTGTTGCAACTCTATGTATTTTGGGTGATTAGTTTAATCTAAGATTGAAAAAAAAGATAAAAATTATCAACAGTGCATACATTAATTATTTTAAAGGTCTCATTTATAGAAAAAAAACTTAAAAGACCATCTTATTACAATAAAATAACTTAGAAAATTATTGGTATGTTTTTGTCTATCTTAAATACTATCTTAAAATTTATATTAATAGATAAACTAAAATAAATATCAATTCAAATAAACTCTTAACCTCAATAATTAGGGGTGTTCAGATCCAAATCAACCCAATAAAAAACCACAAACCGAACCTAACCAAACCAAAAACCGCAAAAACTGCATTTGGTTCAGATGCGTTCAGACCAATTTTTGACAGAACCGCGCGGTTCGATTTGGTTTACAGTTTTATTTTGTAAACTAATTCGATCCGAACCAAACCGCGATATTTACAGGCTTGTTTATTAATTACTGAATAGGCCCAATTCTTAACCGGCCAAATCCAATATACATGTTTGATGTTTCAACGGTTTGCTTGCTAGGGTACACCGCCGGTACAGGAAAGTGGAAACAAGTAAGAGAGTGAAGAACGACGGACATAACGATCATACCACCTTGTTGAACACGCACAACACCATGTTGAACGAAGAACGCTAGACAACACACCACCTTGTTGAACACGCACACTCGCACATCAACACCACCTTGTTGAATGATGAACAACGGACACAGATCGATGTTAAAGAACATCAGCAAACAGCGAAACACAAATTGAATTCGAAGAACATAATCAAAATCTGAAAATCAGTCAGGTAACATTATTGTTCATCATGTTTAAGTTGTGTTCTATTTTCTCTTTTTAGTAGTTTCTTTTCTCGATAAACCACTGATTTTGGTATTTTCTCTTTTTTGTTACTGAAATCTGAAAATCAGTTTGGTTTGGTTACAGATCATAATGTTTATCATGTTCATCATGTTCATCCTGTTTAAGCTGAAATTGTTGTTTTGCAAATATCACCAATTCATTCTGAAAATCAGTAATGTAATGTAATATGTAATTTGTTCGAAATCAGTAATGTTCATGTTCATGTTCTACTTGCTGGCTCTTTGATCACTGATACTTATGTTATTAAGGTATAAAATGTGTAACATGATAGGATTTGACCAGAATGAATAAATCAGACATGATAGGATTTGTTAATGTGCCCTTCAGCTCAAGATGTACACATTGCAGTTTTCAACTGCTGCTCTTAACAGTTAACATTGAGAAATCATCTCACATATTAGTGTATCCTTTAGAGCATGTAATAACTAGATCAAATGTGTAACATGATAGGATTTGACCAAAATGAATAAATCAGACATGATAGGATTTGTTAATGTGCCCTTCAGCTCAAGATGTACACATTGTAGTTTTCAACTACTGCTCTTAATAGTTAACATTGAGAAATCATCTCACATATTAGTGTATCCTTTAGAGCATGTAAGAACTAGATAAAATGTGTAACATTATAGGATTTTACCAGAATGAATAAATCAGACATGATAGGATTTGTTAATGTGCCCTTCAGCTCAAGCCTCAAGATGTACACATTGCAGTTTTCAACTGCTGCTCTTAACAGTTAAAATTGAGAAATCATCTCACATATTAGTGTATCCTTTAGAGCATGTAAGAACTAGATCAAATGTGTAACATGATAGGATTTTACCAGAATGAATAAATCAGACATGATAGGATTTGTTAATATGCCCTTCAGCTCAGGCCTCAAGATGTACACATTGCAGTTTTCAGCTGCTGCTCTTAATAGTTAACATTGAGAAATCATCTCACATATTAGTGTATCCTTTAGAGCATGTAAGAACTAGATCAAATGTGTAACATGATAGGATTTGACCAGAATGAATAAATCAGACAAGGAAGTCAAACATCAAAACAAATATGTTAGCTAATTGTGCAAGAAAGGTCGCCGAACTCTATAATTTGATTGGCTGAACTCTAACAAAACAAGAGTACATACAATCGTTGAAAAGGCTAATGTGAGTTTTCCATACTCATAAAGGTTTATGTTTTATTTTCATTTCCTTTTCTCTAATATATTGTCTCCTCAATTTCTTAGATATGACTATTGATAAAGAAGTCAATTATGTTGCTGGCTCTGATGCTTCCTTTTCCATGGCCAAAAATAAGGTAAAATAATGATAAATGAGTATATTTGATAAATGGTAAGTTCATGATTGGAACTTATTTAATGGCTATAATAAAGTATTTATATTTACAGTGTATGTGTTATGTATTTTCAGTCTCAAAATAGTCCCCCAACGCCTACAACAAACCAACCACAAACTATTGAGTTGGACAAACAAGAAGGTGACAATGTTCAACACAAAAAGAAAAGGAAAGTTGGAGAAGCGGATGAGTCTAAAGCTGATGATTCTAATGCTGGAGATTCAGGTAAACAAAAACCTTGTAGGCCTAAATCTTGGGTTTGGGATCATTTTACAAGAGATGAATGGGTACTCGGGCTAAATGTAATTGGTGCATGAAATCTTATGCCGCCGATTCACATAAGAATGGAACCTCAAATTTAAATAACCATTTGATGCATCAATGTAAAAAAATTCCCAAACATGTTATTGATCTTAGTTAAACCACTCTTAGCCTTCAAGAAGGCTCTAAAGGAAATATTAATGCACTTGTTGGTATCCACTTCGATGTTTAATTGTGTAGACAAGCTTTAGCTAGAATGATAATCATGGATGAATTGCCTTTTTCTTTTGTTGAGAATGAAGGATTCCGTCATTTTATGAGTGTTACACAACCTAGGATCCCACTTCCAGGAAGGAAATCAATTGCTAGGGATTGTTTGAGTCTTTACGTGAGTGAGAAACATAAGTTAAGAAGCATGTTTACTAAAACAAATCAAAGTGTTTGTCTAACAACTGATGCTTTGACTTCTGTGCAAAATATTAATTATATGGTTCTTACTGCGCATTTCATTGATCAAGACTGGAAGTTGCATAAAAGGATTCTCAACTTTTGTCCAATAACTTCTCATAAGGGGAGATAATTGGGAAAAAGATTGAAAAGTGTTTGGAGGGTTGGATGATAGATAAGGTTTTCACCATCACAGTTGATAATGCTTCTTCAAACGATGTTGCTATCGCTTACCTAAAAAATAGAATGGAGGATTGGAATTCACATCCATTAAAAGGGGAGCATTTACATATTATATGTTGTGCTCACATTCTTAACCTTGTTGTCAATGATGGGTTGAAGTTAAAGCACATGCATTCTTCACTTTCAAAAATTAGGAGAGCGGTTCGGTATGTTCGTCAGTCACCTGGTCGTTTAGATAGGTTTAGGACATGTATTAAAGAAGTTAGGATACAAGACAAGTCTACTGTGAAGTATGATTGTCCCACTAGGTGGAACTCCACATACCTTATGCTTGAAAGTGCATTGAAGTTTCAAAAAGCCTTTAAGAGATTAGGTGAGAAATGTGTTGAGTATGCAATGTTGGAAGGTGGTGTCCCAAATAATGAGGATTGGGATAATGCCATGTGTTTTGTAAAATTCTTAAAGTTGTTTTTTGAAATCACTACAAAGGTGTCAGGTTCTACTTATGTAACATCTTCTACTTATTTCATGGAACATTGTACGATATTGGGGGCATTAAAGACTTGGAAGGAATGTCATAAAGATGACCCATTACTTACAAATATGGCTAATGCTATGGATGATAAATATAGTACTTATTGGAGAGAAGTAAAAAAGATGAATATACTAGTCTTTATTGCTGTAATTTTTTATCCTCGACGTAAGTTCCAATTTATTAGGTGGGGATTGGATAATTTTTATGAGAAGGAAGTTGCTGATTTTTTGTGTGATAAGGTGAAACAAACATTAAATAAAATGTTTGAAAGTTATAGTATTTTCTTAAGTAAAGACCAAGCCTAAAGTGCTGCATAAGAAATAGGGCTATCAGAAGTTGTTACATCTTCTGATCATATGGATGATCAATTTGAGAAGGACATGGACCAAGATTCAAATTTAAATAAAAATGAAGTGGATTTGTATCTCATGGAGACGAGGGAGAAGAAAAATTCGGATTTTGACATCTTGAATTGGTGGAAGGTAAATTCCACCAAATACCATACTCTTGGTTTAATAGCTAGAGATATCTTGGTTATGCCAATATCCACTATTGCTTCGGAGTCAGCTTTTAACACAGGGGGTAGAGTTCTTAGTTGTTATAGGAGCTCTCTTACACCCCATACTATTGAAGCTTTAATATGTGCACAAAATTGGTTAAGATCATCTCCTTTGAAAGTGGATATCGAACAGCACTTGGAAGACTCGGAGAAACTCGAACAAGGTATATGTTGTAAACTTTGTTTATGAATATATTTTATTCAATTATTTGTTTTGTCTAACATTTGGTAATATATTTGATTATTTTTAGAAATGGCTCCAATCCCACAAGTAAACGAGGGACTTTCTGATATTGAATTTGATTAGAGACTTGCTTGAAAAAATGATATGTTTTATTTGGAGTAGATTCTTTTTGTTTTTGTTTTGTCTATAATTGATTTTTGTTTATAGTGTTATATGTCATGGTTTTACTTTTTGTAGCAGGTTTTGGAATCCAATATTTATAATTATTTGCAACTTGATTTGTGTTTTGGAGGTAGCTTGAAGGTGATTTACAACCTGGCAGATGTCCAAGAAGCAAGAAGAAACAAAGGAAGAAACATATTATTAGTGCTTTTGATGGCTTTCAAGTCCTTCGTTTGAATACTATTTTGATGGTTAATTTATGTATTGAAATGAATACTACTTTGATGGTTAATTTGATGCTTTTGATTATTAGTGATTGAATACTACTTTGATGGTTAACTTATGTATTAAATACTATTTTCATGTCAACTATTTTGAATATTGCATTTGATTGCATAATATTTTAATTATTGTCAAATTGTGTGCAAGAAGAAAAAACTCACATTAGCGTCAAATTGTGAGAATATATGAAAGTTAATTGTAACAACAATAGTGTTACTGCATGTGAGTAATTATGTGTTATGCATTTATACATTTAACAAAACCGAACCAATCCAAACCGTATTAGTTTGATTTGGTTTGGTTTGGATTTTTTTTCTCAATGAACTGAACCAAACCGAACTGCATATTTTTTTCTCTTACGGTTCGGATGATTTTTTCCTTCAAAACCGCTCAAACTGCACCGGAAACACCCCTATCAATAATTATAATAAAAAATAGACATCACTCTCAACATCTCCTTAAAAAAATAATTTATGAAAAATTATAATTGTGACACAAATTTTGGATGACACATAATAAAGAGACATCTTAAAAAATATAAAACTTACAAATATATTTACAAATATAAAAATAAGATAAATTTATAAAAAATTAATTTTGTGACTTAAGATTTTTTTCTCTTAATTATAATTCAATATATTTTAATTATTTTTTAAATATTTATAAGATATAGAAGTGTTTTAAAAGAGGACACTAGTCAGCAAAATTTTAACTAATATTTTTTTCAAAAATAAATCGATAATAATTATATTTATATCACAGTTGTTGAGTCGAACAATTGACGGTCTAATCAACAATAATTATATAAAAAAAATAGTATATGAGAACCTAACTCATATTTTTTGTTTTTGTTTGCAAAATTTTGAAGGATTTCCAAGAATGGATCTGTATCAAACGTCATCCTAACATCTATATATTGCGTATTTAAATACTAACGAAAAAGTTAAAAAGTAAGAAAAGGAGAAAATGCCTCACTGATGGCGAACAACCTAGTACTACTTTATTCTATTCGATGGTGCCTCTTTTTATTGATATCTAACTTTATATATTTTAATAGGACTAAGTATTAGATTCCCATCATTGAAACTCCAAAGTTACATTACATTTATATATTCCCTCCATTTTTAAAATGAATGTTAATTTAAAATTTGTGTACATAAATTAAAAAATGAAAACATATTATTATGATATATTATATTTTTATTAAATTAGTTTTATTAATTTATTAGAAGTTATGTGCAGAATAATAATTATAGGATATAATTGAAAAATTATTATCATTATTATATTAAAAAGTGAAAAAAAATATTCATTTTAAAATAATTTTTTTTTCTACAACGATATTTATTTTTAAACAAAAAAAATATTATAAATGCTAAAATTTATAGTTTATGTGTGTGGAAATATTTAATAATAAAATAATCATAAATGAGTCATTATGCATAGCACAAATGATAGCTACAAAACATGGAACATTTCATCTTTTTCTTTTAAAGGCAATGAACATTTCATCTCATAAGGTGTATGATGGAATCAGTATGTCATTTCATCATTTTAAATTTTTATGTAAGTTTAGACATCTAAAGTGTCTTTTTTGTTATTATAACTTTTGATAATCGAAAGGTTTAAACAACATAAAAATATTTTTCTTTTTAAAAATTAATAATAATATCAATCACAATAAAAGTATTAAATTTGTAAGACAAATATTCTAATTTAAAATTAATAATAGTTAAAAAAATTAAAAGATAGTGCAATGTTAGTTTAAACTAGTTTTACACTATCATTCAATAAAATTATAGTATTTAACCATTTCATATTGAATCTCTCTTTAAACAGTTTATGTGGGGGGTGTGAGAATAGTAAACGCGTGAATTGCGTGAAATGGGACGGACTGTGCTTGGATAGGGAGAGAGGTGGGCTAGGCATCAAAAACATCAAATCCTTTAACTTAGCACTCTTAGGAAAATGGGTATGGAGAATGCGGGTAGAGCAGAAAAGTTTGTGGTACGAAATCCTCAAGTATAAATATGGGGAGGAGGATGGTAAAATCAAGTTGAGTGGTAGAAACACCTCAAGGTGGTTAAAAGACCTAGTGAAAGTGGAGAATTCGGGAGGGGTGACAATTATAATTGGTTCATTGATGACGTGAGAACGGTTTTGGACAGGGGAGAAGAAACACATTTTTGAAGCGATAATTGGATATGAGGGCCTTTGAATAATAGGTTTGAGCGGTTATTCTCAGTCTCCCTGAATCAAGAAGCCAGGGTGGCAAATATGAGGAGAAGATATGGTGATAATGGGGAGTGGCAACTTGCGTGGAGAAGAGATTTATTCGAGTGGGAGATTGATATGCTTCATTACCTAACATAAGAGGTTGAGAGAGCCTCTTTCCAGCCAGACAAAAGGGACAATGTTGTTTGGATTGCAGATCTGTCGAGCTACTACTCTATTAAATCTTCCTATTCTGGTTTATCGAAGGTTGGCAGCTCGGGGACTCAAGTCTAACTCAACTCTGTGTGGAACAAGTTTATCTCGCTAAAAGTTTTTATTTTCGTGTGGCAAGCATCTCAAAATAGAATTCACACAAAGGAAAATCTGTTCAAGGGAGGAATTATAAATGTCGGCACCTGTTATTGTGTGAGAGGGTGTGTATCGTTTAAATCCACTAGCCACTTATTATTTGACTGCAGTTTTTTGTTCC